TGGTGCTGGGGATCGAACCGCGGTCCCTGTGCTTTGCCAAGCTTGTTTCAAGTAGGTGCTTTAGACCACTGAGCCATCTCTCCAGCCCTAGCAGTTTCAATAATACATTGCATATTGTTCTTAGTGGTTATTCATTGTACAAGATGCAGACATATCCTGCCCACAAACAGTATTAGGATTAATCTATTCATTGAATAAAAATATGGAATGCTTCACGAATTTGCATGTCATCCTTGCAAGGCACCATGCTAATTTTCATTCCAAATTGGTAAAATTTAGTATGTGCTGCTGAAATAAGCACGAGCACTGTTCATAAAACACTGCTTTAGTGGAGACCCTCATAACAACCAACCACACAAATACACAACCATCTTTAACTTATGAATGCATTAATTTGGTTTCAGGATTGTCATACATTCATATTTACAATGTAAAACCCAAACATGACCTCTGCAAGGACACATACTTTTATGCACTTATAATCCATTTATTGAAAAACCCTACTGTCTCCTTAAGAACGACAGTAACAAAAAAAGCCAACTACCTTTATCAATGGCAACCTGGCCTCATAGGCCTCTGGCAAATCTTTGTTTTCCTCTCACTTTTTTAAGTGCATTTGGTTGTTGCAAGGTTTCACTATGCAGCTCAGAGTCCTGGTGATCCTCCTGCTCTCAGCCTCCCCAGCACTGGGATTCCAGGTGTGGGCCACTACAGCCCTGGGGGCAGGGCTGGTGCAGCATATGGTGCCAGGGAGCAAATCTTGGTCCCTGCACTCACCTACAGGGGCTTTAAGTCCACTAAACTATCTCACTGGCCCTCCTTCCATTCTTAAAAACACTATTTCCTCCTGTGTCTTCTTCCCATTTAAACCATTTTCTCCCTATTTCTCAATTATCGAAAATGTCCAATGTAAAAATACTTTGGAGGCTGAGGAAGGAAGGCACTGAGTTCAAGGCCAGCCCAAGCTGCACAGGGAGACCGGAGACCATGTCTCAAAAAGACAAATCAAAAACCCCAAACCAAAAAATGTCACAATTATACAGTTAGTCCCTGTCTAAAAAAAACAAGACCCAAACACAAATGCAGACAAACAGTAATACTGGAAAGCAAATTCCAAGATAGCCACTATCACTTTACCCAGTCTCCCTAATTCAATAAAACCAGGTCATCCATTACAATTCCAGTATGGTTACTTCTTCTCCTGAAAGAAAAGAAACATGATTATATTCTTGGGCGTTCATAGTTTTGGGGTATCTTTTAGGAAGGGTCTACAAGGTGTTCAGGTCTCATTACTAGATGGGACTGTAGTGATCTGCCCGTTTACAGCCTCCCAAGAGCTGGGATTACAGGCATGCACCACCACACCCAGTCTCAACTGCTGTCTCAGTGATCAACACCCCCTCCACCCCCACTTGCAGGCACTTTAAATCTGCTGAGCTATCTTTTGGCCCTTATAGTTTAAATTTAAGTCCTTAAATTTACTGGACACTGTTTCCTGCATGGTTTATCTCCTCAGTCACTGCCCAAAGGACTCTGAGAAGTTGTAGGAATATGCAGGCGCAGGCACGAGGCCCAGCTTCTTCTCCAACGTTGTGGAAAGGGATTGTACATCACGGGGCAGAGCCCTATGCTCCCGTAGGCCACCTGGACAGAGCCCGGGGAGAGTGACCTCCCGGGGTATCCACGTTGGATTTCTGGCTTCAGTACAGACCCAGAC